TGACGTGACGCTGACGTGACGTGACCTGGGCGGATACATGCGTTGACTCGCGCTCACTGACGTGACGGTGACGCTGATGTGACGTGACCTGGGCGGATACATTCGTTGACGCGCGCACACGGACGTGACGGTGACGGTGACGGGGACGTGACATTGCCGGGCAAATGCATGACATGACACGTGGGCGACGGTGACGTGACAGTGACGGTGACGTGACGTGGTTGGCAGACATGCATGGCGTATAGTAGTAGTAGTAGTTGTAGTTGTAGTAGTAGTAGTAGTAGTAGTAGTAGTGGTAGTGGTAGTGGTAGTGGTAGTGGTAGTAGTAGTCGTCGTCGTCGTCAGTAGTAAGTAGTAAGTAGTAAGTAGTGAGTAGTAAGTAGAAAGTAGTAAGTAGTAAGTAGTTAGTAGTAGTAGTAGTAGTAGTAGTAGTAGTAGTAGTAGTAGTAGTATAGTAGCAGTAGTAGTGGTAGTGGTAGTAGTAGTAGTCGTAGTAGTAGTAGTAGTAGTAGAAGTAGAAGTAGTAGTAGGAATAGAAATAGTAGAAGAGGTAATGTAGCAGTAGTAGTAGTGATTGTAGTAGTAGTAGTTGTTGTTGTAGTAGTAGTAGTAGTTGTTGTTCTTGTTTGTGTTATTCTTGCGGTTCTGTGTGCGTTTGCTCCAGTGCTGGCGCTGATGTGTTTGTTGTGGAGGATGTCGTTGGTGTTTGGCGTTGTCTTGTTGTTGGTGTTGGCGTTATTGTTGACGTTTGTTGTTGTATGTTGTTGGGTGTTGTATGTTGTTGTCGGTTAACGTCGTCGTGGATGTTGTTGGTTGTTGTTTTAGTTGCTGTTTTGTTCCAGCGCTGGCGCCGATGTTGTTGCGATTGCTGGTTGGTTGTAGTTTATAGTCTGTTGCTATTGTTCTGGGTGTGGTCGTTGTTACATACAGGCGCTGCCGCGCGGGCGGTAGCACCGCAAAGCGGAGAGAATACTGTTACGCAGCGTTGAGCCAGTACATTTTCTACGCGCTGAGTGTGGTAAACTTGGAAGAAGCAGATGTGTAAGGAAGCTCTCACGCCGTTAGGAAGCTGTTACACCATTACCGAGCTGTTCTGCAGATCAGAAGCCAATACCCCGTTCAGAAGCTGTTAAAGCCATAGGAAGCTACTGCGCCGATAGGAAATTGTTACACCGTTGGAAAGAAAAACGGCGCTTAGGTCAAAGACGCAGGCCGGCCACTGAGTTAATGTCAGAAGATGTTGCCTTCAAAGTCTGCAGCGTTTTCTCACCTGTAAGCAAGGTCAGCAAGGCTTTGAAGTTACAGTGACAGCATACCAAGCACATACGGAAAAAGCCATGAAAGTATGACATCAAATGACCGTGAAGAAGATTTCTCACGCTCAAAATGACCAAGCTTGCAATCCTTTCGCGGTTCGCCGTCCGAAACCAAAACGAGACTTGGATCATAGACCAATGGGCAGGCCACGCACAGGTGGTGTCACATGGAGTCTTTCACTGCGGAGGAGCGTCCAATATGGACAACGCCACCACCAGAAGTCAAGAGGGATGCTGTTTGCGCTAAAAGTTGTTATGGTCATACACATGGCGCATAAAAAATGCTTTCTTGGCAGCTGCAGAGAGGCAGGCAAAGAACAGCGATGGCTCGGCCACATGTGAGAGATGATGAAACCCAAGCGATGGAAGATGTTAGCGCAGCATAAATTTAGCCACCCAGCAAGATGCGCCAACCGGATGCTTTGAGGAACGTCCACGAAGTCTTACAAGGCCCAAGGATGAAAAGATTAAGCTTGCTTGGTACGACCGCGCGAGGCCGGCAAACACACAAGTGGCACGGTCCCTGGAGATAGCCCAATTGCGTCACGATTGCGCCCTGTATGGCACAAGTAAGGACACAAAGAAGGGAACATCATTTATAGAGCAGAGCGCTCACAAAGCTTGGAGCTTGCAAGTGGAATGTTCTGCAACGCCCGAAGCAAAGAGTCTGGCCCGTACAGCGCGGTCGCACTTACGATTCCTATGGTATATCGGGGCACCTGGACGATGCGCTGCCGTTTACGATGCACCCACGACGAAGTGACATTCGATGCGCAGGTGTCACGTCAGGCGCAGCATGGCAAGCGCCGAGGACCCAGGAAGCTGGTGGATTTTGTTAACTGTGAAGCACGACTTCCAGGGCAGCACTTTCTGAACCTTCAAGCAGCGCTCACCCAGTTGTAGTCGTAGATGTAGGAGAAATAATAGTAATTGTTCTTGTAGTTGTCGTTTTTGTAGTTGGCAGTAGTGATAGTAGTAGCGAATCTTCTAGAGAAAAAGTCATTGGTAGTGGTAGTATAGTCTGTAGTAGTAGGAGTAGTCGTAGTAGTAGTAACAGCAGCAGCAATAGTTAGTAGTCGGTAGTAGTTCTATTAGTAAGCCTGATTATAATAGTATAGTAGTAGCGGTTGGAAGTAGTAACAGCAGCAGCAGTTTTTGTGGTGGTAGTAGTAGTAGTAGTTGTTGTTAGTAGGTAGTAGGTAGTAGTTAGTACTTAGTAGTAGTAGTAGTAGTAGTAGTAGTTGTTGTTGTTGTTGTTGCTGTGGTAGTGGTAGTGGTAGTGGGCGACGTGACGGTGACGTGACGGTGACGTGACATGATGTGGGTGACGTGACGGTGACATGACGTTGACGTGACATGATGTGGGTGACGTGACGGCGACGGTGACGGTGACGTGACGTGATGACGCGGCTGGCCCCGGTCTCGAACGCGGACCGTTATGACCTCCTGAGGTGATCGGTGGTTGGGGTGGGTGGATTTGGGGGTCTAACCACCTTCTAAGGATATGGGCCAGGAGCCCTAGCGATATATATTCCAAGGCACCGGTGGGACTGCCCTATTTGTCATCATGGTTGATGTCAATGTTGCATCAATTGCAGTGCAGTCTCAGACAGGTCGTGTTTGGGGTAGATGTAGCATGTAGCCCAGCAACAGCCGGTCAAAGACTATCGCAATTCTTTTGAGAAAGGCCTATCCTCACCATCATCCAATGTTTTGGGACATGGGATATGCCCAAGGTAGATGCCTTGGACGATCCCTTGGACGTATTTAACGGTCGAAACCCTCCAGTCCGGAGGATCAGAGATCGAAGCCTTTCGTGTGTTGCTCTAGTAAAGGAACAAGAAGCTACTAGTAGCTCCTGACAGTACTGCTAGCAACAAGAAGCTAGTCCAGGAGCGTTTGGGTTACTCGCCAACGAGGTGCACCCACCGCACCGCTCCCAGTCACCACAGGTTGCGGTGCTGTCAGAGGTTGAACAGGGACAGAACACGGTGGTTCACGCTGGTGTTCGTTTTGGGGTGTTTTCACCACATGAAAAACCATGGAGAGAGGCAGGGGCCGGCAATGGGATTCGGCACGAAACCGCGCGCGATCGATCGGCGTTGGGACATGTCTTTGGGGCTGCCGGAGCCGCAGAGGGACGTGAGATCGACTGCATGGGCACGTAGACACCCTGTAAGAGCGCGGCGCCAGCGCCGGTTGGTTTGGCAAGCACCCCAGAACATGGGACTATCATAAGTTTGTTGCCTACATGGACTGCTGTCTTCAACCACCCCAGCATGGCAAATCAGGCGGATTCCTATATACATAGCTGTGGGGTCATAGCAACGGGAGCTGAGAACTCGGTAGGTTGACGGCGTTTCGCTCGAGGCCGGCGCAAGCCATGCAGTCGATGCCACAGATGCCGATGCAGGTGGTGTGGTGCATGGGGCAGGTGCAGATCATAAAGGGGGGCGACAGCAGAAGACCAGACCATGGGGCATAGGGAATTTAAACTTATTCCTTAACCATGGAGTGTCGGGGGATGACCTGACCATGAATACTAATATTTTATATATTATATAATAGAGACAGGCCCTTTTAAATGGAGAAACACACCCGTGGCTTTATATAATAGAATATATGACCAGGTCCCGGCCAGAAGAGTTGTGCTTTTTGAAGTCTGTGTGAGAGGATTCGAGGGTTCATGCCTCCCAGACGGTAGAAAATCTGAGTGGGCGATATGTTGGGCTTACCATGCCAACATGTTTGCGATTACTTGGATACCCTGCTGACTTGCGGTTGAGTTTTCCCGAACCTGGTGAACTGAAGTGGGCGAATCCCCGAACCTCGGGAATGCTTGATAGATCTTAATTAATCAAACAATGGGCATACATTTTTGGCCCAAGCAGAAGTTCTAGGTATATGGGAATATGTTCGGTCAAGAATCCAACATCCAACTTAAGAATTGTGCCTGGACAGGGTGAAATGCCGGGACACGAACCTCGACCTCAGCAGGTCCTCCAGCAAGGCACCCGAGAAAAGACCTCCGCACGGGGAAGGTAACGTATCTCTGGAGACCAGAACCCTAGGCCTCCAGTCGTACCGAACCTGAGGTTCGGTGGGGCCCGGGTGGGTTTGGAGGGTTCAGTCATGCCTTCTGAGGAGGTATGACTGGAGGTGTAGGGGAATGCCTTTCCAACCCAAAGACTCCCGGAATTGGCCGAGAGGGCCCTTATACACGCAGGGCCGCGTCAAATGGCGGACGCCGCGTGGTTTGTTGTTTTAGCGCCAAGTTTCACGTCATAGATTCCGATGCCCAAAACCAAGAGGTGTCTCTACATAGACCACCGGACTACCTGGTAGATGGAGTGCTTCTTCAAACCACTGGACTTGGAAGGTCCGGACCTCCGACTCGGCCGGCCCTTCGTCATCGCCCACGTCCGCGCACACGGCAGGCGATGACGATGGGCCAATTGAACTCGCCACGGCTAGCACCACAGATGCAGATCAGACCTCCACTGAGGTGGGGCTTGGCGTAGGGCCTTAGGGGCAGAAGGGTGGCATTTGAGTCACGATGTTTGCATACACAGACACGCCAAAAAAGAGGTGATCAACACACATCAAAGCCTATGACGAAACGGCGTTTTTCCCGATTTCGGAAGACTTCCACCCGAACTCCCCTCGCGTTGTAGGCCGATGGTGCCCATGGTGCGACCCATGTGAGCAAGCGGCCGCTGACAGCGGCTGCGGTGGTGGTGGGCAAGCGGCCCATATGCCATCTCAATCATTGGTGGTCATTGAAGGCCTGTGCGAGCTTGGTGCCCCCAACCTAGATCTACCCATGAGCCATGGCAGAACATGCCTGTTCTCAGCCGGCCTGTCGGACAAGTTGAGTTGCTGGTAGTGTTTTTAAGGTGCGTGAGGTTGGGTTGCAGTTACGGAAGCCTTTTTATTATCCTTTAGATCTTTATGGTGAATTGAAGGCTAACGCATGCTTTGAAACATGCTATTCTGAATTGTTCTGATAAACTCGAGCTTGTTTTGAGCTTGGGGACAAGTCAAAGGAGGAGGACAGACGTTTTGATCTACCGGGATGTCGGTTTGCTTCTTTGCGCCTACGTTGAAGGGCCATGTTTTGAAGCAGGATTTCGGGTGTATACCAGGACTTCCCAACAGGTATTATAATATTACAGTGTTTGGACGGACTTGTCACCAGGAAACACCTTTGTTGATCTCTGCTGGAGGGTCCAGGTATTACATATTTTATTACATCAAATTGTTCCCTAGGGCTCCTGGCCCATATCCTTAGAAGGTGGTTAGACCCCCAAATCCACCCACCCCAACCACCAGTCACCTCAGGAGGTGGGCCAGGAGCCCTAGTGGTTTCTTAGGGGATGCAGGTGGCTTCCTCTTTGGAGTTGCTTTTTTGGTTGGCCCCCCTTGTGTTTCTACCCTTGCGACGGACCTGCCGCCACTAGCATTGACAAGTCCGCGTTGGCCCTCAGGGGGTATCAGGCGTCGTATTGGCCTTCAGACCGCCACAGGATGGAACAGTTTCATCTATAGGATCTTAAAATGGCTCTGGGTTAAAACCAGGACGAACCGCTGCAGATCTGCTTAAGACTTATATAGGTCCTAGCAGGACCGAAAGGCATGGAAAGGCTGTGTATCATCGATACACCGATTGATAGGAGGGTGCCGGTTTGTAGGGGTCGAAGGTTGTAGACGAATGTTCACCTCTCTCTCTCTCTATATCCTATAATATATACCCAGAACCTGATTGACCCCTGGAACTGGCAGCCAAAACATGGTCTTTTCCTATCAAAACAGAGGTCATGTCTGGGCTCTAGGTAAAACAATATATGTGTGTTTATGTCACTTACTATATATGTAACTATGCAAATCATAATCTTTGCTTAGCAGCTCTGGTTAGCAGGTCACTTAACGCTTCATGTTTGAAGCGTCGATGTTCAGATAAATGCGCATCATGATCAGATCCAGCGAGCGTTATGCCCCTGGACGTCACGTCAGCTCACGTCACCTCGGAGTTGGGACCTAAACGTTCCCGTTCGAACGGTATCCATGGCCTACCAGCACTTTCCAGCTAGACGATTCTTGGAACATATAGACATAGACAGGGGGGGTGTTGACACACATTTTACGAACCACCCTTTCCGTGGTGCTGGCATAGCTTTGTTTGGCAATACTTGGCATGGTTTGAATGTCTGAATCGTTTTCGATTTGCTCAATCACATGGTTCTCCCTTGCACGACATCGTGGCGGGGCTATTCTACAGTCGACGTCGTAGGCCTTTCGTTTTGACCTGGAGCCTTTCATGAGCCAAATGTGCCGGAAAGATGGGTTGTGGATGAAAGACGTCGCGGTGTTTCACGGCGAAAACGCAGTTTCTACGCCCGTTTCGATCGCCGATCAAGACTTGGAAGACATCACGGGAGCTCTCCTTGGGGTTAGAGGAGGAGAATCGTTTTCCCGGCCTACAGGGTAAAAGTGGAACACCTTCATGACCCCTATAGTGGCGCTTGGGGACACCACACTATATAGACAAGAACTGGTGGAAAAAACAAAGGACGAACCATCACAAACCCTTGAGCCCCCCGACCATTTTCCACTTCCGACCCAATCACTTCGAGCCCTTGATGATTTCCGCTCGGTGAGTGTCCTTTGCGCATTTGGAAAATAAGATAAATAAGACCCGGGCGTTCCGACCCTCTTGGAAGATCTTGGAGTCTAAGGCCTCTGAAATCAGAGTTTGATGTAAAATATCGAGGTTTTTTCTCGGTTGGGGATGGTTTTAGGACACACCTTAACTATCGGACGGGCATATTGGTCTATCATGAGACTTAGGTGGTTTAACATGTTATAGGGGTCAATTTTAGGGAACAAGCTTTCCAGTCCCATAGATTGGTGATCTGCTTCAAAATCGATCACGCATGTCCCATGGATTGGATCCAGGAGACATGTCTCTGACCTGATCAGTTGAAGCGTCGACGTGGTGATCCAATTTCCACCGGGCGACGACATCCACCACCCAAATTGCAAATGATGAAGTCGAAAGCGCACGAGCTTTCTGCCGCACAAGAATCGGAGATAAGGAGCTGACCTCTCAGAGAAAAACTTGTTGTGTTTCTTTCTGCGTTTTTGTTAACCATCCTCTTTTCGATTCAAAAACGGAGTGGTATAGCTGGTTTGCCCCTTCAGAATCCCAAGGTGTTGCGCCCGCGGTCACAATTCTGCAGTCCCCTGCAGCGGCAGCTGGTGGAGTCGAAACCTCCTCCACCAGACACGACTGCACCCCAGACTCCAGACAAACCCCTATGTCTTCAACCACCCCTATGATCCCCTATGTCTAAATGGCTGCCAGTCCACGCGCGAGGAATCCGTTCATTTTTCAGTGGTTTCAGAGGTTCGATGGCACAGACCCCCATGATGTCCTAGACAGATGGGGATCCATACATAGACCACCTGACGACATTGGGGTCTGTGCCATTGGTCCTCTCAATCCAAGAAAAGAGGTCCACCCAGGTGACCGGGTCCGAAACCGTCGTCGACTTGATCGGAACGTCCTGGTCGACATCTGGTCCAGATGCCAATCGGGCTAGGTCGTTCTCAAGGTCCACCACCTGTTTGGGACTGCCGATTTGATGCCTTGAAACCGGCCCGAGCAGGGGTGGCGGCAGAAGGGTCAAGTGATCGGCAGTCCGTCCTGGCAGTCCCAGATGGCGGTCGTGTTTGGGGGAAGCGTCGTGGAAGGGATGGAAAACACGGTGTTCATTCTACAACGATGGGTTTCACGGTTTGCCTCGTGTCGGGACCTCATGGGCCGTTCTTTTTACCATCCCCGGTGGTGACTGGCTCCGTTTTCTCACGAAGCGATGAGAAAACGGAGGGTCCAGGTTTGTTTATTTGTTCATGTTTTTCGGTACTGGACTTGATGTCGGGAACTTCCTTTACTTCATTCATACAGCCCAAATTGGCTCAATTGGCTCCTAGGAGGCGGCGCAGAAAGCAACCCCGGACCCCAGTGAATCAACACCGGAGACTCGCTCATATCGAGATGGTGAGAGCCGAGGCTCATATCGACGTTCTGACATCCCAATGTTCCGATCCAAGCATGGTGTACCTGTGCTTTGCATGTTGACATTGTGTTTGACATGCTGTGGTGCTACATGTTGCCATGGCTTGGGAAGTTGTTTCGGTCTTTTTGGGACCACTTGGCTTGAAATCACCTTTTTGAGTTGTAGCGAGCAAACCGGAGAGCAGCTCCTCAGGTTTCTATAAGTTTCGATGCCTCACCTCAGCAACTTGCTCAGCGGATAAGTTTTTGCTTTTCAAAAGCAGATCCTGTAAAGTCAGTGCATTAGATCGAAGGCACACCGTTCACACTCTTGACATCAGATCGATCACTAAAAGAATGGTTGACCTGGTTTTGTAGTCTAAACTTGCTGGCCGTAAAACAATGGTTGTTTGGTAAGGATCATGAGGCTAATGGGTGTTGGAATAGGGTCTTATTTGGAATAAGGATGAATTCTGAATAAGGTTGCATTTATTGGATCGAAGTGGGCAAAACAGGTATTCGCCGCGTCACACCATTCACAGCCCAGATCAACAACGTCCACGACCCAGATCAACAAGGTTCTACTGACTACTGACTGACTGATGAAGCGATCCCATGTGGTTCCAGACTGATGCAGGTCCTCGCTTCATCTTGCTTCATTCAGTTTACTTTGGAACGGGTCTCATTGGGATTCAGACCATTCAAACAATGGTTGTTGATGGTTGCGAGAAATCACTATGGCAGGTCAAATGCAGCCATTGTTTTACCAATGATTTGGGGGAAAAAAGGTGAGTACAACACCAGGTCAACCATTTTGAACCTGCTTTTGGAAGTCCCAGCACCGCTTCCGCAGCAGCAGGGTTGCGGGCTGCGTTTCGGGCGAACCGGACGCCCGCCGTTTCGCGCGAGTGTTCGCCCGCGAACCGGTCACGACGTCCCAAAGTGCCCATCGGGGCCTTCGGAGAATGCAGGGAGTCCTGGGTGAAAGAACTGAGGATCACCAGCGATGAGACAGAAGGTGACGTTGGGAGACACATTGGGTGAAGTTTAGAAAGCGGAACAAGCACGCAAGTTCGGTGCAAGCCGGATTTGGAATCCGGGGGGTTGATTAATCAAGAGTCTACATTAGGGGTCTTGACCCTAATCAATCCGGAATGGCAGCCTGTGCTGATCAAGGTGGGGGTGTAAGGGTGCCAATTGGTGGGAAGGGGTGTTTATTAACCAGCCCTTAGTGTCCAAACAACACCCTTGGTGTCTTGTCAATTATAGGTAAACCAATTTAAATCAACTTCCCGTTCCGTGGACTGTTTGGGTGATGTGTGGATGGAAAGATGCGTGCATTGCAAAAACTGTGCGAAAAAACACGGCGGATTTGAGCCCCTTGGATGGCTAGAATTTGTTTAAACAATAATTCAGGAATCTTCAGGGTATTCACCTCAAAAGCTATGGGTGTCCTCTAGATTTTTCCTGAAGCAATTCTGAGACTGGATGCTAGCAACACGTTTCGTAAGAATCAACTGCCTTCCAAGTTGGATTCATCGCTTGCTTCTGGCCGCCAGTTCGTCTTTAGAATCCAATGCTCGGCGATGAGGGACCTCCCCCAACGCATCCATGGGACTGGAATAGTTACAGACATTCACCCCCATGT